AATAAATCTTTAAAAAAAAGAAACCCTCATCTTCTACCAGTTTCCCCTCAAAAAAGTTCTAGTCACTCTCTCACAATGTATCAGCTCCAAAGTCAAATCCTCCTCTATTGTTCAGTCACTTCTCTCAATTTATTACCCTCTGTTAAAATAGTAACTAAGCCCCAGGTCGAACCGCTTCATTTCTTTTCTGTGAGGCCCTGTGTAAGTGAAAATATCGAATGTTATCGAATGTCCATGAAAGTTGTTTGTCTTTCTTCTGTTAATCTGTCTTTTTTCAGCTTCATTCATAGGTCCCAGAACAGATCTAAGGAGGGAGCGGCAGCTTTTTCCTTCCCCACCAGGACAGCATGTTAAATGAAATAAGCCAGTGACAAACGCCACATACTCTGTGGTTCCACTTACCTGAGATATCCAGGGCAGCCAATTCATAGGGACAGAAAGAGCCTAGAGTGGTGTTGCCAGGGCCTGGGGGAGGGGCTGGGGCATGGGCATCTGATGCGCTCAGAGTCTGTTTGGGAAGATGTAGAGGCAGAGCTGGGGGGCTTGGGCAGCAGTGTGGTGTGCTGCGCACCCCTCGGCTGTACTCTTCAAAGTGGGTAAGATGATACGTTTGGTGTGTAGTTGATCAACATTTTGTGTTTTGTACAAAGTGAATGTGTCTGGTGTGAACCGAGTCACAACTGGATGCCCGATGCCCTCACGTGCCTGGATGAGCATCCTGACATTGGGTGGGATGGTGCTGCCTTGCCTTCTGGCTCTCCTTGGCCCTGGACTGGCGATCACCTCACCAGACAGACCCCTGGAACTCTTTACCAGAGAAAGGAAGCGCCTCTTCCTGGCCTCATCTCCATCCTCTCAGTCCCATCCCATTGTGTGGGAACCACACACATAGAAGGAAGCAGAAGTGTTGGCTCCAGGGTGTTGGGGGCATGCCAGTGACTGGAAAGAGGAGCTTGCTAAAAGTCTGTTCTTGGGAGAAATCCTAGTCAAGCAAGTGTCCCTAGGCAGTCACTGAGCTTTAGATTTGTGCTGTTTTAGTGTCATGTATTAAAATAAAACTACAGCTAAATACTAAATGCCTGGGGATCCCCCAGGTTCCCACCGTACTCTGAGGAACCTCCAAGCTGGCTCCTGTGCAGAAGAGATTTCTGCTGGAAAAATCCCAGCAGGGCTGTATGGCTGGGAAATCCCTCTCATGCCCTGTGAACAGCTGGCTAGAGGACCCTCTGCCAGGGTGTTGGTTGTTTTCGGAGAAGCATTCAACTGATAGGTCTGAAGGATGTGGGAGGAGAAAGAAGATGGTGGATCTGGAATAGAGAGCAAGAGATGAACAGATTTGTGCCTGTTGCTGTTTCTTGGACAACAACCTCTTGAATAACTGGGCCAACTCTGTCTCAAAGGACTTTCTGTGAGGATGGAGACGTTCATGCTGTGCAAAGCTGTGGCCACCAGCCAGATGAGACCACTGAGCACTTGACGTGTGGCTGGTGTGACTGAGGAACATGGTCACTTCCACTTAGCTTTAATTGGAATAATGTATATAGCTGTGTGTGGTTGACTGTTACCTTCTTGGACAACACAGCTTAATCACCTTCTGGTTTGTGTCCTCAGGGCTCTGGGGCTTGATTTGATTCTGAGAAGACTAAAAATTTACTTCTGTGGGGTTGGGCTATGGATAACTCAGAGGATTTTAGTGTGGACATCAGATGCCCCCAAATCTGGCCAAAAGTCAACTTAGTATCACTAAGTATTGTTTGTTTAATCAAATTATTGATTCATAATTATTAAGGACCTAAATTATTAAGGACAGATACTGTAGGAAAGTGGGGCTGTGGAGAACAAAATCAACAGGAATCCTTGCCTTGCAAGTGAATAGTGTGAATTGAGGCATGCTCTGAGAGCCATCTCACTGGGGATCAGTAGAAAGGAGTCTCTGGGGGGGGATGACATCATTTTATCTCTTTCTATTTTAATAGGGACCCTTCCAATCATAGGGCCCCTGACCTGATTCAACTTTTCGAATCTTTTTCTTGTCTCCTTCACATGAGATTCTCCTGGGCTACCTGGTATGTTGTCATGGTGACTGAACTTGAAAAATGATGAGCCCTGTTTCACTCCACCCAACAAAAGAAACCCAAGAGGGTTTCAGAGGGAGATGGTGGGTGAGCAGGGTGGAAGGATGCCCCTGGGGTAGAGGCAGGATTACATTGTGTGGCAGCTTATTGCTCGGGTCCCCAAGGCCCTGAAAGGGTGCCTGAGGCAGCTGTGGTTGCGACTCCCAGGGACAGGATGCAGTAATAGCCCAACCAAAAGACTGGGACAGGGCCAAGACTGCAGCCTGAGTCAGCCACCCGCTCCACCCAGCACCGCTGTGACTGTCCCTTTGTCCATCCCTCAGCTGGGTGCAGCTAGGTGCTGACTTGGTATCTATCAGGCATCTGCTGTGCACGGGGTCCTGGAGACATGCTCCAGCTTCCCATTCTCTGACAGGTTGGCTAGTGACCGCAGAGGCTCTAGCTCAGAATGTGGATGGGTCCCTGGGTCTGCGGCCCTGCTGCCCAACCCTGACTGTGCTGAACAATTACTTGGAGTGTTTCTGAAATGTACAGTTGCCTATCTAGGCAACCCTGCCCCCAGACCACTTTGAATTTGTTGTTAAAGATCTTATTTTTGCATAGAACTGGGGTACAGACCAGAGGTGCAGAGAGGTGAGAGGATTCACCAGAGACAGAGTGGGCAGCAGAACAGGCAGATCAACTGAAATACACTGTTGAGGGGAGCAGCAGGTGAGACAGGAGAGGTCTGCTGCGCCATGTGGGTCACCTCCCTGGCTGGGCATTGAACTCGGGCTGATACAGTGGCCATAGAGGTCATAGCACTGAGACTTAATCCCTTGGCCACCAGGGAGGCCCCCAATTTGAATTCTGAATGTAAAAGTCAGTCTTCACTGCAAAGCTCCCTCACTAGGATGTTGTCTCATGGGTGACACAGACGGAGGCCCAGGGATCCCACCAGAGTCTCCCCATCCTCTGGGAGCCTCCAGCCTGGCTCTGTGGAAATGACAATCCCAGCAGGGCTGTGGGGCTGTCCAGTCCCTACCTACTCCCACACCCCATCCCCAGCTGAGGCTTGAGGCCACCACTGGGATCCTTGTCACTGGGTATAAAGGCCAAACGTGAGAGTTCCCATGACTGCAAGTGACCTCCTGATCTTTTCCAGCTGTCACTGCTCACCAGGAAGGCTCCTGCCACTCTTTAGACTTGAAATCTTTGCTAGGAAAGCTGGCAACCTGAGCTCCATTACTGGAAACCGGAAACCTTCCAGGGTAGATCAGGCCAAGGATGGGAGTGGAGACTGTGGTGGTGGTGGAGTGGGGGCGGGCACTTGGGGGAGCTTTCCTAAGTTTAGGAGCTGGCTCCAAAAATCTGCCTTTACAGAAAATAATGAAGCGTGTTGGGAAAGCGAGTGCCTTCCTCCGCTGGGCTGAGCAGTGGGGTTAAGGCCCCGGGTGGGGCAAGGGGCTGTCTCCTCCACAGGCATCAGTCTGTGTTTTGCGCTCCTAGTCCCAGCTCAGCCCCGTCCAGGAGACTTTAATACAAGCTGTCATCTCCTGGCACACGAACAAAACCCAAGAGCAAACACATTTCATACTCAGTTTTAAATGCTCAAAGGAGCAACGTTTTTCTGACATTACACATTTTTCCAGCATTATGCTGTACTTGAGCATGCAAAACAATGAAGTGGAATTTTTTTCTTTTTTCTTTCTTTATAGTTTCTAGGGGCACACTGGATTCTTATGGGCGGCAGGATGGCAGGGGCCTGAGGGCTGGTGTGTACCTGGACCAAATTAGATGCCCATTGTTTGCTGAGTGGAATGGTAGCTGCCCTCTTCTTAGCCAGCTTATGGGACTGCTGCTGCAAACTTTAAGACTGTTGCCAGAAACTTGCAACTTCTGCATGTGGGGGTGCCGGGGAGCATGCTTGGGCTGGAATCCCTGCCCTGGCCTCCCTAAGAGTAGAACATGGACAAGTCAGTCCACCTCTGTGAGGCTCTTATTTCTTTTGTGAAAAGAGGTAAATCTCAACCTCAGGGACTTGGGGGGCAGGAGGCAGCTGCCTGGGAGGGTGATCTTGCCCCTGCCCTGTACATGAGCCTCTCCTGTTGTACTTGTTGGGTTTTCTCCTCAGTTTTCCTTGCAGAGGGTCCCACTGCCCTGACGCCATTGCAGACCAGTGAAACCAGGCCCAGGCATCAGCAGGTCCCTGGGTGGCTTCCCAAGGCCAGAGTTCAGAGCCATCACCCTAAAAGACCAAGTGAATGGGACAGTGAAGCGTGTCGGTCTTTGTCTCCTCCAGGGGTCTGTCGGGCCTTGTAGGATCCCGAGGGCCATGCTGCTGTCCGGGGGACTTCTATATACTTGAGGTTCTGGGAATCAAGGTTTTGACTCTCGGGGGTGGACACCAAGGTAATAACACTGCCTTTAGCAATGTGTTATTAATTCAGGAACATAAAACTCTGAACCTCCCCCGCCCCGAGGTTGGTGCTGAGGTGGAGGGCTGGGCGGCCACAGGCCCGGGCAGCTGGTGGACTTGACTCCCTCTGAACAGCGCACAGCGAGCCTGGGGAGATGATATAAAACCTATTTCTTTCTGGGACTTGGTCCAAAAAAAAAAAGGCCAGCTGCTAGTTCTGATGTTAGAAATGGAGAGAAGAGTGCCGAAGTTCAAGAGGTTCCAAGCTGGAAATGGAAGTTGGGGTGGAGTGAGAAGCCAGGCTGTGTCAGTGTTGTGAGTTGGGGCATCTGGGGTGAAATCCTGGATCTGGCTCTCTGGCACCCCGGGCTGCTGAGTAGTCACTGCCTGCTCTGGGCCCAGCCTCGCCGGGTCTGGAGGATGCATGGCTCTTTCAAGAGTCTGTGTGATGGGCAAGTGCACCAGGGAACATGTACTATAAAATTTGTGAATGGCTTTCAGGAGGATTTTTGAATGGGGTCAGTATCTTTTGAGGCTTTCTTGGGCAGGATCCTTGGTGCAGGTAGAGGTAAAAGATGGAGAGAGGAGGCCAGGGAGCCTTTCCTTCCTGAGGCTGATTTCAGCTGAAGTTCAGGGGTTCAGGGCTGGACTGAAGAGACCAAGGACCCCTCTAGTCAGCCTGGAGACAGCAGCGGGGCCCAGAGTGACGTAGGCCCTCTTCCTTCCACTCCACCTTGGGCACACTGGAGTGCTGGTAAGAGCAGTCGGTAACCAGATGCCTTCCTTTGCTTTGACAGGTATCGTGTGAACTTTAGACCCAGATATGTCACCAGGTACAAGACAGTGACGCAGTTGGAATGGAGGTGCTGCCCTGGCTTCAGAGGGGGAGATTGCCAAGAAGGTCCCAGAGACCCCGGGAAAACTCCCAATCCCACCCCTGCGCGGCCTCGAAACAACATGAAGAAAGCCACAGGTACGGGACCACCTATGTCCAGCCACCTCTTACGCTTCCGCTGCTGCTTCAAACAACAGGGCCTGTGACTTCCAACTTTCCAAGGACTTCAAATAACATGTGTACCTGCCACAGGCCCCTGTGGCAGAATAAGTTATTTGCAGAGGCAGTAGTAGTGGAAAGATGCACTTTTATTTTTTGCGAGTAAATGCTATGTTAGAGCCAAGTTGGGCAAGTCAAGAACCTAGCCACCACCAGTGCAGGAGACACTTAAGGTTTCAGACTTAAATCAACTGAAGGACAGATGAGAAGAGTCAAATGTAATGATTTGTGTTTTTACTTTTCATCTATAAATTCCCATAAATCTTTAATTTGATGAAACTAAAATTGCTTTAAAAAATAGGTAAGTGGGGCTTCCTGGTGCTGCAGAGGGTTAAAGTGCAGATTATGATGTTATCCACAGCCACTGCAGCACAAATTCAATCCCTCGCCAGGGAGCAGACCCACATGGCATGGCAGACCTCTGCTGTCTCGCCCCACTGCTCCCCTCAGCAGTGTCTCAGTACATCTGCATGTTCTGCTCCCCACTCGGTCTCTAGTTAATCTTCTCACTCCCCTGCACCTCTGGCCTGTATTCCAGTTCTTGTATGCATAACTAAATCTTTAAAAAAATAGTTCAGTAGAAGCATTCTCATGCTCTTCAGAATGAAAAGCTAAGCCCCAAATTAGAAGTATCCACTGAAGTTTTTAAAATTTGTTTCTGAAAAAAAAAAAATTTTTTTTTTTAATTTATTGATTTGTGCACACCTGCTGCTTCCTGCCGGCCCAGGCCAGGGAATCAATCCTCCCTTTGTAGAAAAAAAAAATTATTTATTTATGCATACAGAACTGTGGTACAGGCCAGAGGTGCAGGGGCAGTGAGAGGCTTCACCAGAGACAGAGCAGGGAGCAGAACAGGCAGAACTGAGGAAGTACACTGCTGAGGAGAGCAGTGGGCGGGTCAGGAGAGGTCTGCCACACATGTGGGTCAGCTCTGGAACAGGCGGGGATCGAACTCATGATGAAGTGGTTTTAGCTTCTTAGTGCATATCACAGTATTGTCTTAAAGTAGATTGTAAAATAATTTTTCATTTCAAAAATAGTGGATATCATTAAGGAATTTTTACAAGAGAGGCAAAAATTGGGCCCTCCCTGGTGGTGCAGCGGTTTAAAGCACAGGACTAAGAAGCTAAAGCCACTTCAGCATGAGTTCGATTCCCGCCTGCCCCAGAGGTGACCACATGGCGCGGCTGACCTCTCCTAACCCGCCTGCTGCTCCCCTCAGCAGTGTACTTCGTCCACCTGCCTGTTCTGCTCCCCACTCTGTCTCTGGTGACTCCTCTCAGCACACCTGCGCCTCTGGCCTGTACCCCAGTTCTGTATGCATAAACAAAAAATGAAAAAATGAGGCAAAAATGTAAGTACACATATCTGACCACCATGTATGTTCAGCTATAGAGCTTTACTCTCTCCCCTGTGCCTGTATTTCCATTTTATGAAAGGAAAATTCATTTATTCAGTCTGTAGCTATTGATTGAGCTTCTGTCCTGGCAGGGTCTGTACTAGCTACTTGGGAAAAGAAAAAAGCAACAAGAAGGCAGGCACATTCTTGACCTGATGGAAAGCAAACAGCAGACAAGTAAGCTCAATAAATCACAGTAAATCACGTAGTATGCAGGGAACACATGCTGGGTCAGAATAGATTATTTTTGTTTAGATTTAGTTTTTATAGGTGTTTAAATGTGCATGCAGTTTAATACGCTGAATAACACACAGGTCCTTGGGAAACAGCTGTCCTCTTCCTGTGCGTCTCCTTTCAGGGGTGATTAAAGTTTTATGTGGTTTACTGGAATTTACCTCCGCATCTACTGACCTCTCATTTTAGACAAGGAGAACTGACTCCTCTCTAGCATCCCCACAAACTGTTATGCCATGTTTTCATCTAGTCTCTATGCAGTGTTTACACTGTAGCAACCTTGTAGTTAATATTTACACCCCAGCCATGGAGAGTACTATGAATGCTTCCTTTGCTGCAGAACTTCTGTATTTTTCTAGTTATTGTCACAGTGTCTTTCTCTTGGCCTTCTGTATTTTTATTTTGGTTTAAACACAAACAATTATCTAATTGTTCTCATAATATTCAAACATACTGGTTTCATCTTTTCTCTTTAAGATTTATTTATTTGTGCATACAGAACTGGGGTACAGGCCAGAGGTACAGGGGTGGTGAGAGGATTCACCAGAGACGGAGTGGGGAGCAGAACAGGCAGATCTACTGAAATACACTGTTGTGGGGAGCAGTGGGCGCAGGAGGGTCACAGGAGGGTCACAGGTGCTGCACCATGTGGGTCAGTGCCCTGGCAGGGAGTCAAACGTGTGTTGCAATAGCTTGAGAGAGCTGTGACTTAACCCCTTGCACCACAAGGAAGGCCTGTCTTCATCTTCTTGAAGAAATCTCTTCTAAAGCTTTTTCACCTCCTACTGGGACTTATCCTAAGTGGACAAGTTACACCCTGTGATCCTAACTTCCCTCTCTCCTTTTGAGGTCCTGTTTCCTGTACCTCTATTTGCCCTTTCTTGACTGACTGTTTTGATAGAACACATCTTTTTTTTTTGTTTAAGATTTATTTATGCATCCAGAACTGGGGTACAGGCCAGAGGTGCAGGTGTGGTGAGAGGATTCACCAGAGACAGAGTGGGGAGCAGAACAGGCCGAATGACCAAGTACACTGCTGAGGGGAGCAGTGGGGGCGTCAGGAGAGGTCTGCTGCACTATGTGGGTCACCTCCCTGGCCAGGAATCGAACTCATGCTGCAGTGACTATGGCCAGCCTCCTAGTGCTGCACTTTAATCTGTTGCACTGCCTG